AATTTGATGAACTCGTATAGCTGTTGGACGAGATGCACGAAAAGCAGTGTCACGGAAAACTGTGTCTATTTATTCTATTGGCATATATGAACATCACGGATGGCTAGGTTGTTATTAGTGTCATTTAAGTTTGATTGTATCAGACGAATAAAACTGATTAAGAAAAGTCTCCAGAGGGGATCGTACTTCACTATAGTTTCGGTGCAGATAGTCGGGGGGATATGAAGTTAATCACACTAACACGAGCTAGAAACTACTATATTTCAACAAAGCAGACCTTCATCACTCTGAAGTCAGTTTGGAAATCTTATTCACTCAGCATAATGAACAAGATTCAGATTTCCAACACCAATGTGAGGTCAGTCACTTCTTCTATATGGATCGGAAACTTGCAGTTCGCGTCATGAAAAGTACTTCCGACAGATTGCAGACTTTTATCAACAGCTGTTTCAACTCCATAAAGAAGACGAAATGGTCAGAAAGGACTGGCAACAAGAGACTTTGTAACAGACTAACCAAGGACCTGTTGCCCAATAAATATGTAGAGGGAGATGGAGATGAATCGGTCACAGGCTGACGACACCATCGAATGACACTAAGCGTTTGCCAGGCCATTGCTGTAGTGCAGCTTGAATGGGAAACGACGAGTCGGGTGTCCGAGGGTGACACGGAAGAGATCGTGTGAGGTGTGATAGCTTACAGATAATTTTTAGTAAAGCTGAAGAGAACTCCAGAGAACAGGATAAAGTGGAGATGTGCTGCTGAGATCATATGTTCCACTCGGAACTTAAGGGAATAATGATGACAATTATATCGTACTTCTTCAAGGAGATAAACCTTTTTAATAATGAATACTGGGTTCAGTACGAATACCAGAGAATTTACTTAAAATCCAGCATTATCAGGAAGATCGAATTTTCATAAAAAATATAAAGTGAACTATTTCATAGAACTTTTAATCCCGAAATTTATTTTAAATATATTAGTATATTAAATAAATATTTTAAATATAACTACACTTTTTGTTGTGTAGCTTAATGTTTAATGGTTTCAGTAAATGGATTTCATGTAGAGTCACTTATTAACTTTGGCTTCGTAGATAAGGAAACACTGGCCTATGTGTTCATGTCCTAATGTTTAATGAAAACTCGTGGCCGACAAAGTGTTGGCGATGCCAATCACAGTCGAATATCAGGGTTAAGAAACAATGAAACACTGTTAGTCCCTCTGTATCTTCAATATTTCTAGCATTAAAAAGCTGTATTTGGCCTGAAAAAAAATTCTGATTTTTCTATGGTTTAAGATAGTCGTTAATCTCTGTTTTCATACAACACTGATTCAGGATTTATATTTTAAGGTTTGTTTCAGTAACCAGTGTAAGTTACCAAAAGTAGTTTATCTCAACATTAGTTATGAAAGCTATTAGCCTTCAATTATATGGTGTAATTTGAAGCAATAAAATGACAACAAAAAATAGAAAAAACACGTATATTTCTTTGGAGTGAGGTTTTTGGCTTGGATTCACTTCTATTGTTTGTCAATGATAATTTAGATGCCTACTTTCCCAGTGAACGTTCGAACTTATCTACTTAAACCATATCTTTTCCCATAAAATTTGTTTTTAATGTTTTCGTAAATGTTTCGTTATTTTTAGAGCGATGATAGAAGTGTCAATTTCATAGTTCTCTATTACTTTCGTGTATTAAATTTATTTTCCAAATAGCTTCCTAACATTTTACTTATCTGGCATTGATTTATAACTGTAGAGCCTAAGGAAGAAGTTATCGAAAATAGTTGTTCACTCAAAGGGGGTTGAATTTTTAATTTCGCTGGCATTATCACTGTTAATGCTATTTATACAAATATTTTCAAACAAACTATGAAGTTTAGCAATGTATGCAGTACATCTTACGGGATTTCGTACCTTTAGAAAATTTTCTGAAAGTCTGTTGAAAAGAATTGCATAAATTTAATTGAACTTCCTTGTCTCTCACTGACTGCTTACACTTCATTCAATGTAAGTCACACTTTGGTCATACTTTGGTGCAACAGAATGAAGTCAGTTGATGTTGACATTTCACCACTCCCATAATAATAACCATTCAGATGCAGTTTAAGAGAAGTACGAATTTAATTTATTCTGTTCAAGGCTAGAGTAGTTCAAATAAAAACTGAAAGGATAGACATCATTTAACAACTAAACATTATATATGATCATGTGTTCACTATATACTATTGTGTACATTTAAACGACTTGAAAGTTATCTTGATATAAGTATGAAATTTGGGCACTGTGGTAGAGTATAACTCCATCACGGATAAGATTTTTCAACAGTTGGTTTGTAAGCAGTAGTTTTGATTTTACGAGTTGATCACGGATTGATATTAGTTAGACAACCACTGAAAACCAGGGAGTACTAAACAGCTGTTTCATCCTAGTTTGAGAATCATCGGCAGTATGCACCCACTGGGATTCAAACCCAGGACCTTCCGGTTACAAGGCAAGCTCGTATAACATTGACTAATATTAGTTAATATTACTGTACAACACTTTGCGGTTTGTCAAAACAAAATCTTATCCATAATGGAAAGTTATCTTTATGACTTGAAATCGCAGACAAGTTCAAAGAAAAATATTACCGCATATGGGTTCAATTATTTACTCCTGGGATATAACACATGCTTCCGAAATGACGAAACTGTTTCTCTGAGTTTGGAAAGATTTCGCTACAGATTACTTGGGAGTCTACATTTCTTTATATTGCTTGACTAGAAGCTAAAATTGAAGGAAGTTAGCTTTCTGAAATAGATTACATAAAGTGTTTACATCTTTTAAGCTCATAGGTACCCGTTAAAACCACTGTTAGTTTCATCTTACTGAATTTAGAATATGGATATATCTCTTCTAAATATGCAAATCGAAAGGAAACGAAAAAAATTTTTAAGACCCAATTTTTGTCTTCTCATGGTATGTGAAGTCAAGTTTTGAAGGCATGAAACTTGCTTATGCATGTACCACTCCCAAATATATTAGTACTGAATGCTGAAGTGGAGATGAAGCGTAAGCTCTCCAAAGCTATAGAATGGACCGGAGTAAACACCATTACCAACTACTTGAGTAACTTTTGTTTATTCGCATTGATCACTAAAATATATCTTGCCACAAATCAGATCATTTAATCTAACATAAAAGACAGAATGATAGCTAGCAAAAAAAATGAAAACAATCGAATTATAATCTTAATCATAAACAGTAATCTAGAAAATGTCACTCAAGGAGTATACCAGAAATGCTCATCATCTCGTTAAAAAGAAAACAGACGCAAAGTGTAATTAGTAAATAAAGTTAATCGATTTCAGAACCAGTTAAACTCCTTCTTTTCTTCAAAATTATAATGCCAGCAAATTGTGTCAAAGATAAAATCTAACAGGTAATGAATCAAAATTCGATCGAAGTCTTATTAATTCCGTTTTCCATTGTGAAAACATTGTTGTCTTTTAGAGTTGTTAGCAAGATGCTCAAAGCTGTCTCATTATTGTGCGTGTGCTGGAGAATTGACTGACTAAACAAAGCAACTGATAAAAATGTTTTCGATGTGATTGTATTTCTGAGAACATGTTTAGCACAAAAACTAGTTCTTTGTTTTGAGTAATTTTAATGATAGGGTAAATACGATTAAGAGCCTTTGGGGAAAAAACATTGAATCAATGCCTCTTAGGTGTTCTTCGTCATATTTTATGATAATAACAATAAAACAAAAATTGTCTTACTGAAAGAGTTCCGTAGCAGGTATATGCTTGTAGGAGAAGAGATGAATAAAGGATGTGGCAATGATTTCAATTAATTACTGAAATCAATAAATAATATGAAAAAAACATAGCTCATGTATTCCTCTAAAAAGCTGAAATCTATCTGACATACTTGACCTAAAAATTATGATATGATATTCCTCTTATTATTAAATAAGCAAAGTAAAAGCTAAATGTGGAATTTGAATAGATGAAGGCCCTTAAGTCTGTATACACTAAACCGTAATATCTTGCTATTTGTACTTACTCTACAAAATGCCATTCTGAATGTAATAGTGTTTGCCCTTGATCTGTTCTAGATATGAGCAGGATATCACTATATCACTTTACTGGTATTAGATGGTTGGAGGCAATCAACAGGAAGCCTTGGACCTGTGTTTTGCGCCAGTTGGCACTCATCAGCAAGTCATACCTGCCACATCAAAGGAACTTGTGTCCCTTCTGAAATTCGAACTCGCATTCCCCAGTGAGTACTGCAGTCAGAGACGTTACCACTGAGCTATTCGGGCTCGCCACTGACTGCCTGTAGAACTGCATTGAATATTTTTGATTGGACGCTAGTCAGTAACCAGTTTAATCTGTGTTTAGTCCTATCTTCAGTGCAGACTGAATTCTATCAGTCAAGTTTGCAATATGGCCACCATGTTAGTTGGCTTGCCATCATGGTGCACCGTGAATTGCTGGTAATAGATGGGTGGAGTCAATCCTGCCGACTGTCCAATAAAAAAGTCACTATACTTTTAACAAGCTGAAAACTATTAGACTTATGACTTCTTTTATGAAGCTGCAGTTTTTAATGAAATTTGAAATATAGAGAATTATTGCATCATAGATACTCAATTACACAACATCCCGTACTTCTTGACAGAAGCTTAATTTCGTTTGATTTTTAGACTCATTTAAGAAATTGGTTTTAACACTTTAGTTTCTATTTCGAAACTTTAGGTCATCAGCCAACTGTGTGAATTTCACCGTTGAACATAACCTGTTAGCTGGTATTTTGTCAAGAGACAGTATTTCAAATATGTATCGGTGAAGCGTTAAGCTACAGATTATTTTAATCACTTGACTTTAAATAAAAAGTTAAGTGCCTATAATCATTCTTCGTTTTATGCATTTTTAATTCAATATGTATCACCACAAACCACCTTACTTCTTCTTAACAATCAATATCTTTCTTTAATTTTCAGAAGTATACACATTGTCCGATGAAAAGCGGTTAATTAAACGTCTCCTGAAAAACTATGAGGCAGCAGGGATTACTGGTCGTCCAGTTAAGCACACATCTGAAAAGGTAATCGTAGAAATGTCTCTTTCATTAATACAAATATTGGATTTGGACGAGAAAAACCAGGTGCTTACCACAAGCGTATGGCTGAATTACGTAAGTGTTTTAATTTACAGTAATTTTATTTTTTTTATTGCTAAATCGTAGATAGATTCGAATATATTTCACTTTTTTCAACACTGTAGAGTATATGTTGATAATCGAACCAGTAGTTAGAATACGAATACTTGATTCATACTTCTTTTAAGAATCAATGAAACGGACAGGTATTTAATTAAAAATAATAAGTAATTCGCATTACCATAAAAATGACCACTAGCAAGAAAATATACACTATTGATTGATATAACTACTTAAAAACGACACACGTCAACCAACAACTCTCTCTAGTTTGACCGAAGTGATCTAAACACCAGCTAGCAGTTCTACTGGTTTTTACCCAAGCTCATTGATAGTGTACAGGTATGTGATCAGCTAACAACTCATTTGGAAGTATGTATATTGGCATTTCTAGATCAACTGTTTATGTTGAAGTAGAAGTAGATATGGTTCGCATGAACATTTGTGAACTCACAAGTAACTCAAACATTTAAAGACAAAAACATGACTGGAACTCTCAGAAACAATAACCAACTAGACTGACAAGCGTTTTATCATCAAATGCCTGTAGCACACTGATAATCTGAAATACAAGTCAGTGACAATGTCTCCTCAGTCATTTTCAATAAAAGCGATAACTATATTTAAGCCAAAATAAGTTGCATCAGCGTTAAGTATAAATCAAATGATTCTAGCAAGTTGACTAACACTGTACACGATATATGACTACATTTTTGAGATGCATAGTTCGGTATCTACAGCTCAGTTTACTTTTCTCAACACTTTTTCCATCTTTCAAATTTGCCTAGGCATTGTTTAAGTGCATTAGAGATATTGGAAGCAGAAAACATGGAAATGAAGGTATCATAAACTCATCAAACTAAATAAGTTAATAATATGGGACTTAAATGATTTCAGTAGTGAGATATATTACCATGTTAGATGATATAACACACAGGTAAGTTAGACAAACTCATCCACTAAGGAGAAAATATTATCCTTCCAAACATTTGTTGCAAACTGTTGGGCTCAAAGAGCTAAGAAAGCTGATTTCTTCTTTACATATTTATCCTGTATTAACCAGATATATGTGCTACTAGCGCAGATATTAACAGTACTACTTACCTTGTTTAAATTAAAAGTAGTCTCGTTTATTTCTGTTTCAGTTTCGTTCGCGATTGATCATAGAAAGCCTTTTTAAATTTCTTCTGGTATTACTGTGAAAGTCTTTTATGTGTTTCACCTCATTTCTTGAATTAAAACTCTTTATCATACTTGTTAGTGATATTAGTTGAAAGTGAACATATAACTAAACATTACCTCGATAATTAAAGTGCTGCTCTAGATAGATTCCTAATAAAACAAATATTTAATTCTTGAGTTGTTTATTACGCGATATGAAAAGAACACCTAAATGAAGAGGTTCAGAATTGGGTTTCTTTTAAATAGTAGATTAACTCACATGCAATAGTACGACGTTGGTAAAAATAGTGGGAATTTTTGTCAAGTTACTTTTTTAACCTATAACCTGTGTGTTGGAATTCCTGTTTTCTGAAGACTGGGCTTCGATAAGAAGCAGCTGATCAAGGCTTACGACCTTCAGTAAAAGAATCGAAAACTAGTTCGAAAATAGATTTCACAGTCTGGTCCTTGGAACTGGCCTCTAGTTTAAAACATTCTCAAATGCAAGCTTTTATTTCACTCGAAAAATTCTTTAATTTCAGTGTATTTAGTACTGATTCCTATTCTGAGAGCATATTTACAGAAACAGACAAAGCTTTTGAAATAATAGAAAAGATTTGTAACTCAGGTGGATGATTTGCAATTAATAGTGTTCTCTGAGCTGGTTTGTTTAGCTGCGGAGCTTTCGTCGTCTTTCTGGACGACATTTTTAAAGTCGAGTCAAAGCACCAACAAAGAACTATCACCAAAAACCAAAAAGAAATTCATCCTACCATACATCAGAAATATCTCTGAAATAACGGCTAGAATAATGAAACCGTTTGATATAGATGTAGCACACAAACCAGCTGAATCGCTTAATTCTATCTTATGCAAACCAAAAGATCCAACTGAAAAAGGAGATAAAATTAACACTATTTACAAAATAAATTGTATGAACTGCAACACACATTACATCGGTCAAAGTGGGCATCCCCTTCGAATAAGAATCCAAGAACACAAATCAGCCGTGAAAAGACACGATATAAATTCTTTAGTATCAATGCATACAGACGATTATGGACATCAGTTTGATTGGGATAATGTCAAAATCCTAGACAGAGGAAACATCAAATGTGCCAGGGAATTCTGAGAAGCCTGGTACTCAAACGAAAATGTAATTAATAAACACGTTAATATAGATGAAATATACCAACAAATAAAAAGTAAATCAGGTGACCAGAAAGTTAAAAATCCCAATCAATAGAAAATGGTCAATACATATCTAAAGATGGTTACCGGGAGACTCATGAAGAAATTCAAATCATTTCACTTTATCCTAAATACTGCGCTGAAGATGTCGTCCAGACAGACGACGAAAGTTCCGCAACTAAACCAACCAGCTCAGGGAACACTATTAATTACAAACAAAGCTTGTTAAATTTCTACAAACAGCGCTTACAAGGTGTACACAAAGTGAATTTTAAGGTGTTTAGCTTTTTTTACAGTAAATGAGATTTCGACAAAAAAAATTAAGCATTAGTAATTTTTAATATTACACACACACAAATTTATTCTATATATTATTAGTCTGATCGTTTAACTTCTATAAAATTTAAATCTTGTCCGTGAAATTTATGTTATCCATAATCAGTAGAATTTACTTAGGTGAGGATGGTAAATATGAAACTGAAAAGAAATGAAAGAATACAAATACCTATCAGTGTTCTTTCGTTGTAGTCACATTTTTTGCTTGTAACTGGAAAAATTTTAATTAAAAACTTGATGTAGACGTGAGTGAGGTGATATGTTATCGTATTCACATCTTAATAAATTTTTAAGAACTAATTCAACTAGTTTATCATATATTTAATACAGCTAAATTCTGAAAAATATTCTTATAAGTATGGATTATTAAGCTAAAATGATGAATAAAATGAAAATGAATGTTTAAAATATATTTATTATAGAGTATAAGAGTGTCAACTAAAAATGTTAACAGTGAGATGATAAATTCAACTCATTGATTGTTATATAAAAGATAAAAGAGTCTGATGAACTTAGGCACTGTGGTAGAATATAATTCTATCATAGAGGACTTCAGGTGAACGTAGGTAAAACAGAGGTGATGAAGATTCCTGGACAACACCAACAGCAACAACAACAACAGACAACAATCAGCCAGAATAAATGGCAGGAACCTGAAAGAAACAACCTCCTTCACCTAACGATCTGGGAAGCATCGTTTCAACTACAGGCGGACGGAACTGACGAGGATTTCAAAGCCAGAATCGGAAAACCAAGACAAGCTTTCATTGCTCTCAAGTCTGTGTGGAGGTCAACAACACTCAGAATCAAAATTAAGATCCGGATTTTCAACTCCAGTGTGAAGTCAGTGCTACCTACCATACGGATCAGAGACTTGGCCAGCGCGTCATGAAGAGCATCTCAAACAAACTTCAGACCTTCATTAACAGTTGTCTTCGCTCAATACCACTCAAAATCAGATGACTGGCCAGAAAAGATCAGCAACAGGCATCTCTGGCAATGAGCGAACCAGCTGAGCAGGAACCGATTGTGAAACAAATAGGCAGGAAGAAATGGAGATGGATTAACTGGCCATACGCTGAGGAAACCATCAAGTGACATCACTAGACAAGCCATTGCTCGAGTGGAACTCGAAAGGGAAGCGGCGAGTTGGTTGTCAGTGCAAGGGTGACTTGGAGGAGGTTATGTGAATGGGAGATGAAAGCATGAGGGCGGACTTGGAGCGGAGTGAAAACGTTGGCAGAAAATCGAAGTCAATGGAGACGCGCTGCTGAAGCCCGATGTTCCTCTAGGAATTAAAGGATATACTAATAATACAGAGTAAATTTATTTGATAAAATCACACAGTGATACAACATCACTCACTGGCTGTGTTTCGAGCACAAGTTATTGCTCATAGTCATTTCGGGGTACTCACATAACTTTCCAACTCCGTTTATATAATTGTTTTATTTTTATTGACGGTAGCAATGTTGACCTTATTTCTGGTATTTGTGTTGTGTAGTTCTGGTTGCACGTATTAAGTGTAGATTCGATGTATAAAGACCCAGCAATCAGCTTTTTTCTCCACCTAGTTGTATTACTTTTCACAAGTATTACTCTGTCTCAACCTATTGTGCTGTTGTGTGTTAGTGAATGCAGCGCAAATGCATAGTGTTTTTTTTAATTACTTATCTTTGCGGGTCAATCATTCTACACTTAGCTAAAGTCTTATGTTCTGATTATTTGATTATCCTCGATCTAATGGTCTGACCTACGACTTATATTTTAATCTTAACCACACACACAAAGTCAGTTTTTGCCAACAATGCGTAAATTTCTCTTTAAATTTTTAACTAGTAAATTAGAAAATGACAAAATACACTCTAACACAAGGAAGTAAGGTTGATGCTAGTATACTTTTTGCTTATATCAAAAAGGGGCTGGATCGATCAAACAACAGGGGATGTAATAGAATAGTTTTATTTTATACAGTATTATTCATTCACTGATGACCTTATGAGCACACCTTATTGTTCATAATCATATCATAATTGTAGATTTCATTTACATAGTTCTTATAGGTAATACAATGAAATAGACTGAATAGATGATCACTGAGTTCTTATTTTCAAGTATTGGTTTTTGTAGGGATTTTGTTTGATTGCATGGAGGATTTAATCATGAGCTGACATCAGTTAGAGAACCACTGGAAAACCTGGGAGTACTGGACAGCCGTTTTATTTATTAAATGTAGTCAAGTTACTGGCATTAAAAATGACGCGAGATCAACACGGGAAATATAAAAA